TGCATTAGGAAGTTGCTTGAGCATGAATATAGTTATTTTATTCTTACTTTAATTTTAGACTGTTAAGCAAGATGGAAAGAAGCAAGAAAAAAAAAAAGAAAAAAAAAAGACTACTGCTCCCAAATTAAAAATAAACTAAAATTTTAAAGTTAAAAAAATATATAACAGGCCCTCCCTGGTGGTGCAGCGGGTTAAAGCACTGCACTGAGAAGCTAAAGTCACTTCCACATGAGTTCGATCCCCGCCTGCCCCGGAGGTGACCACATAGCGTGGCAGACCTCTCCTGACCCGCCTGCTGCTCCCCTCAGCAGTGTACTTCGTCGATCTGCCTGTTCTGCTTCCCGCTCTGACTCTGGTGAATCCTCTCACCACCCCTGAGCCTCTGGCCTGTACCCCAGTTCTGTATGTACAAATAAAATAAATCTTTAAAAAAAAAAAATATATATATATATATACATATATATATATAAAACGGATTTGGGTAGAAGATTATGTCAGCAAAAGGCCAATAATAGAACCTGTACAGGTAAAAATTACTGGACTTGATTTCACAACAATTTAAAAATTTGTATAAGTAACAATTTTTTTTAATCTAGAAAGAGATATCTACAATATACATTTCAGGTAAAATGCTAAAAAGATTATTTTAAAAAGGACAAACAGTTCAGTTCTTAAAAATGGATAAAGGATATAAACTGAAAATTCACAAAAGCAATACAAATCATCCATAAATATTTAATTTCACAGAAAACAAGGAATACAAACTAAAATTGAAAATTACATTTTACTGGGCTCTCCCTGGTGGCACAATGGGTTAAAGCACTACATTATGAAGCTCTCTGAAGTAGCTGCAGCATTAGTTTGATCCCCTGCCAGGGAGCTGACCCACATGGTGGGGGCAGACCCGCCCATTGCTCCCTTAGCAGTGTATTTCAGTAGATCTGCCTGCTTTACTTCCCACTGTGTCTCTGGTGAATCTTCTCACCCACCACACCTCTGGCCTGTACCCCACTTCTGTAAACATAAATAAATAAATCTAAAAAGAAAAGAAAATTACGTTTTACTTACAAAGTTGGCAGAGAATTTTTAAAAGTAGAAACAATGTAAATGTCTGCTATGTAACTATATCTTTCCTTATAGTGGAACTCCAAAAGTGCCATTAATATTAACAACACAAAGAATGCTCATGCTTTTTAGTAAGAGGAGGAAAATGTGGTTACAAAATAGCAAATAAAAATAATATAACCTCTAAAAATTATCTCTATACACATAAAAATAATGGAAAGATTGAGTAAAATGTTATCATTGATTAGTTCTGTTGTGGGCTTATGATAAATTCTTCTTTTCTTCATACCTTCCTATTGTCTCTGTTATATAATAAACATGCATCCCTGTTTTTCTTTTTATAAACTGAGAGGACATTAGTTAACAACACATTATATTACTCAAAGGTAGGCTCACACCTCCTCACACCACATCCACCACTAAAGCCCCAAGTGTCCTCCACCTACCCTTTTCATCTCCCACCCTCCCCTGCCCATGTGGCAGCCTCAATTTTGCATCAGATTTCCAGGACTTGTTCTGGTTTGTTTTTTTCTGACACTTGTTTCCTTATATTCCACATATGATTGAAACGACGTGGTATGTGGTATTTGTTTTTCTCCCTCTGATTTCACATAGCATAATTCCCTCCTTTCCATCCATGGTTCACAAATGTCAAGAGCTCATCTTTATTTTTATAATGGAGTAGTAGTCCACTGTATCCCTTTTCTAACTGGGAAAAAATAAGGCTATGCTATAAGTGTGGCCAAAAGTTGGAATAATAATGACTACATCACTCAAAGTTAAGAATACAATAGAGCAGAACAGAACAAACTGCACAACTTGGTACTCTTTTGAGATTTCATGGTTTTATCCTGTCGATCCCACCCTTCCTTAAGAGGGAAGACAGGGAAAAGGTAAAAACAAAAATGAAAGTAGAAAATGCATTTCAGTTAATCATGGAATATCAAGTTGCCTCTGATTTGTGGCAATAAAAGTGATACATAATAACTGTAATGTTCTAATTTTCTTCTTTTAGTAAATATAGAAAGTATGGTTTAGTGTTTTGTGTCTATGTGCATGTATGTGTGTTGTTTTTAAGTCATGCTAGATGGGGGAAAATGTGTGTTTGTTGTCATTATAAAATATTTAAAACAAAACTTCATCCTAGAATGCAAAGATTTAGTTTGGCATGAGACTACTATCTTAAAATGGTCCCATAACACCCCCTTGTGGCTCCACAATATCAGATTGGGAAACAGGTCAACCTATCTAGAGAAGAAAATGATCCACATTTTCTTTATAAATTCAACAAATGTTTGTACGTCCTATTCTGTGCCCGATACTAATAATACAGGATTAAAAGATGCTTCTGAAAAACAGCCCATGACATAGGCTTCAGTGATGTCTCTGGGGACTCCACTACAAGGGAAACAAAAGCAAAAATAAAAAAATGGGACTACATCAAGCTAAAATACTCGTGCACAACAAAAGAAACTATCATTAAAATAAAGACAACTTTCTGAATAGAAGAAAATGTTTGCATATCATACATTAGACAGGGATTAATAGCCAAGATTTACAAAGGACTCATACAACACAAGAAAACAAATTAACAATCTATCAAAAAATGAACAGGATGACTTAAAAAATATCTTATTTGAAAAAAGACATTTCTCCAAAGAAGACATACAGGTGAGAAAAAGGCACATGACAAAATATTCATCATCATTTATCAAGAAGGAAATGCAAATTAAATGCCATCTCACACCTGTGAAAATGACTCACATCAAACAAGTCCAATAACAAATATCTTGGAGAGTGGAAAGGTCGTGAGTATTCTCATACTCTCTTGGTGGGAAAGTAGCCCTGTCTGGCCTCTATGAAAACATGGCAATTTCTCAAAATATTAAAAATAGATCCACCAGGGCCCTCCCTACTGGCGCAGCGGGTTAAAGCACAGCATTAAGAAGCTAAAGCCACTTCACTTGAGTTCGAATCCCTCCTGCCCGGAAGGTGATCTACATGGTGCAGCAGACCTCTCCTGACCTACCCACTGCTCCCATCAGCAGTGTACTTCAACGATCTGCCTGTTCTGCTTCCCACTCTGCCTCTGGTGAATCCTCTCACTGCCCCTGCACCTCTGGCCTACACCCTAGTTTTGTAATGCATAAATAAATAAATCTTAAAAAAAAAAAAAGATCTACCATATGATCCAGCCATTCCATTTTTAAATATCTATCTTAAGAACAATAAAACAGGGCCCTCCCTGGGGATTCAATGGGTTAAAGTGCAGCATTGTGAAGCTATCTGCAGCCACCTTAGCGTGAGTTCAATCCCCAGCTAGAGAGGTGACCCATGTGGCGTGGCAGACCTCTCCTGTCTCACTCACTGCTCCCCTCAGCAGTGTACTTTGTTTTGCTTCCCATCTGTGTCTGGTGAATCTTCTCACTGCCCTTGCACCTCTGGCCTGTACCCCAGTTCTGTATGTATTAAAAAGCCAAAAAAAAAAAAAGAAAAGAAAGAAAAGAAAAAATTTTAAAGAATAATAAAACACTAAAAGAATATGTGGATTCCTACGTTGCAGCTACTGCAGCACTAGGTACAGTAACCAGTTATGAAAACAACTTAAGTGCCTGGGATAGAGGAGTGGATAAAGATGTGATATATCAGCTAAAAAAAAAAAGAGAGATAAAATCTTGTTATTTGTGACAGCATAGATGAAACTGGAGGGGTTAATGCTAAGTGAAACAGAAGGAGAATATAAAGAAACAAAGCAAAAGAATTCAAAACAAACAAATGAACAAACAAAAACCCCTGCAACCCTGGGAATCTGTAGAACTGAAGCTACCAGAGTGGGAGGAAGGTGAACAAAGGGTGGAGGGGGTGGGCTGTGGTAGAGGATTGATCACACCATCTAAAAGAGGTGTGAATCTATACCTGTAAAACATAGATAAGATTGTAAACCAACTTTAGCAATTTAAAAAAAAAAATGCTTCTAAATCTCTCCATACTTTATACTGGCCAGAATGTCCAGTATAAATATTGTTTATTTAGGCTGAGCTCATGGGTATATTATGAGGTCATAACAAGTGAACCAACATACTAATGCGACTCTCAAATATGGCTATATCTCCTGGGAGACTATTGAAAGAATCAAAATAAGGACTGTGATTACTACGACCCAAGGATTGATTGGTTAGCATGCGGAAACCAGAATAAGCAGAGGATTGCAGACCTGTCCAAGGACCTCTGGCACGCGGCATCTATGTGGGTCTCCTTCAGCCACTTCATTATCACTGGAAACGGGTTCCGCTAACCCTTCACACAGTTACTGTTCTAATCTGTGATTTAGGACTAACAACCTCAACTTCAAATGTATGACCACACTTGTACCGAAAATTCATCTTTGAAACTGTGTTCACAAACTTACTTATGCTTACTTAATTTAATCCCCTCTACATCTGCCCAGAGAAATTCATCTTCAGAAAAGGAATCAAAACCATCTAATCCAAGCCCCTGTAACAATATTCATTCCATCAAGAACTCTTGTATCAAGGAATCTTGCAGAAACCTACTCTGACTCACGACCTCCATGCCTTTCTCCCTCCCGCCCTAGGATCACATCCCTAGGACCCAGTCCTGTGTCCCTTTTGTCCCCCCTGCAGACGACTGCACTCTTTGGGTTTTGACGTGTCACAGCGTTAACGTGTAAACGTGCAAGAGCATTCTCGCGCGTCCCCTGCAGGAGCAGGGTGGGAAAGGGGCGACAGGCTCGCCTCGTTTCTCTCTCCGCGAATGGGAGGAAGAGCCGGGAGTGGGCCGGGGAAGTCCCTCCCCCGCCTCGCAGGGAGCAATTCTAGGGGTGGAATCACCCGCTTAGCTCCGGAGGGGCGGGACCCCGCCCGGAAAAAGTCTGCGGCGGCGCAGAAGTGCCGGCAGGGGGCGCGGGCCGCCAGGCCACCCCCGGGGCTGGAGGTCGGTGGTCCCTTCCAGGCCAGGCGTGCAGCAGAGCCGCGCCGCCCGCTCCCCTGCCCCCACACTCACCTCGTCACCTCCCCGCCCTCTCGGCGGGCCCCTGAGGTGCGCGGCGCAGGCGCGGAGCTGGGCGGTGAGTGCGGCCGGCCGGGGAGCCGGGGCCTGGGGCCTGGCTGGCAGGGCTTGGGGCGCGCGGGAGGGTGAGGGGCTGGCGCAGCGGAGCGCCCGGGAGCGCGAGAGTCGCAGCCCGCGGCAGGGTGCCCGCGGGCTGTGCGGCGAGGCCCTTCGGCCAGTTCTCGGCCGCCTCCGGCTCGGAGCTGCGCTGGGGCTGGCCCGGCGGACCCTGAGGGACTGGTGAGTGTGAAGGAGGAGCGGGCGGGCCCGGCGCTGGACTGCTGCAGGGGAAGCGGGCTGACGGGCGCAGTTTCCAACGGGAGCGGCTCGGGAGGCTCGATGGCGTCTTTTAAAGCGAAACCCTGCCTCTGTTTTACGGCGGGATGGCCTCCCCTCCCCCATTCCGTAGGCAGTTCCATCCCTCCCACTACCACCACCACCACTATCACCCCACACACACACACGCGGACGCCTGCGGCGGGCTCAGCTGGACCCTTTGCTGCTTTATTACTTTGGTAGCCTTTGGTGTCGGCGCTTGGGAGTCCCAGCTTGCGTGGGAGCCTGTGCGTGGCTTGGGTATGGTAGCGACTGGTGTCAGCCCCTGCCCAACCCCTCGGATTGGCGCTGGACCGGCGGTGCCTGGTCTGTGGACGCCGCTGGGTGCCACGCTGGCCCTGTGACCCCGCGGGGCGGCACCGTGGCCATCCGACTGGGCATCCCGGCGTGCGCGACGCGAGCCGCAGCGGTCCGGGCGGTCTGGCGTCTAGCCTGGAGACTATGGCACTCGTTTTGGGTGTTCTATATCCCCCTTTGGATTTTGGTTTTCAGTGCAGCCCTGGAAGGGGCCCGAGTCATTTAAAGCAGTTTATCTCTTTGCAAAGAAATAAGGATTTGTGATAAAGCAAAGACGGGCAATAAGTTGGACATAATAGTGGGTTCTGGTTAAAGCCCTTTTGCAACATTTTAGTATTTCAACTCTTTCAAAATCTCTCAAGTTTAAACAATAGGTATTTGTTTAAACTTGAGGATGAAACGTGTTTGGGGGGCTATTTAATATAAGGATGTTGCTTATTGTAAAGATATGTTTTTACATCATTTAGGAATAGAATGTATTTCATGAAAGGCCGTAAAGGTTCGTCAAGGAGTGGTTTGAGGGTAAAAAAAAAGGGGGGGCTGTCAATTTGATATGTGCTATTATGTGATTTGAATACAGTCATTCTTGTTGAAAACAAAAGGCAGTGCAAAGATGTTGACATGTAAGATGCTTTTTAAAAAAATGTTTAGTATGGCATAATCTTGTTTTTGTAAGTTTTTAAATATGTATGTATTCCCTAACATCGGAAAATGTCTAGATGTCTGTACAACAAAATATATTAGGTTTGGGGGTGAGTCAACTCTAGGTGATTTAAGGAATTTCAAATATTTTCCTTTTCTAATTTTCCTGCAGTAGGTGTACTACTATAGGTTGTGTTTAAGTGAGAGTGGATTACTTTTAAGTGTGGAAAAGGGAGTGAATGGTAAATTTTGTGAATCAGAATCTTCCCAATGAGAGGACTAGTGAGCAACTGTTTACATGACTTCCCTGAGTAAAAACCTAGACTTCATCAGAGCAGTTATGCATTAAAGAAAGTCATACAAACATTTGCTGAAATGAAGAATGGTTAGCCTAAAGGAGTCCTGATAACTTTTTGGATATTTTTGCAGCCTTCTGTAGAAGTCAAACCTTTCCTGATGGAGATGATCCTATTCCTCTCAACAGTCTAAATCCAGACCAATTTGCAACATCTTAATGTCAAACGTGGTTTCCTTTTCTTTTTCATTCTAAAAGTCGTAAAGAACATAAAGTGTATTCTGTAATAAGGACTATGTCCTTATGTTTGACTGAGTTTTCAGTAGGCTCACTGAGACTTTTAGAGTATTTAGAACATTAAGTGTAAAGCTTTTGGCTATGTAATAAGCTCTAGAAATGTACAAAAGAGGCATTCAGACTAAATATTGAAATTTTAATATTTTCTCAAATATGAAAACTTTCTCTTTTTTTATTTATGCATACAGAACTGGAGTACAGGCCAGGGTACAGGGGTGGTGAGAGGATTCATCAGAGATATAGTGGGGAGCAGAACAGGCAGAATGACAAAATACACTGCCGAGGGAGCAGTGGGCAAGGCAGGAGAGGTCCTCCATGCCATGTAGGTCACCTCCCTGGCCCAAGATCCAACTCATGCCAAAGCCATTGGAACTAGCTTCACAGTGCTGCACTTTACCTCATTGTGCCACCAGGGAGGGCCCTTTTATTTTTGAATGACCTTGAT